TGTTGGCAAGATTCCTTGCCAACACTTAGCTCGTAGCGCGGTGCACTAACGTTTGACACCACGACCACCCACCACACCTCCCCTTCATTGTTGCCAGCGCATAGCTCGCAGCGCGCTGCCACTCTCACTTCACCACATACATCCACCCCACCCCACCTTCCACGGTGCCAACGCACAGCTCGCACCGCGCTGCTACTCTCACGTGACCACATCCATCCACCCCATTCACCCCACCTTCCCACCATTCACGCCCAGGTGCCGTGCATGCAGTGACCACTTGGGGGTTGAGAGGTCCTTATACGAGGACCTCTCATCTTCCTCTTCGTCACCGTGCTTGCCAGGCTCTCTCACATCTTTCTGTTTGCCTGGCCAGAAACTAGTGTAGGAGCCCTTGTTTCAGCCTCCCTTTTCCGAGCTCACTACACCACTGCTCGGCAGGCTCAATGGCTGCCTCAGAAGCTGTCGATGAAGGGCCCGACGAGGAGGATGATGCTGATGTTCGCCCAGCTTCGGACCCACTCACCGGTCTAGACTTCCTTAGGTCTCTCCTACCGAAACATAATCCACAGCAACCTAAACCGTCGCAACCCAGCTCTATTCGCCCATCGATTCCCATTGCCTCTGCAGCTCTGCACGAGGCCGTCGCCGAACCAGCGACAGCCGCGCAACAGGCGGTGCGCCAAGATTCGTCCGTCGAAGCACCTTCTCGTCCCGCGCCACCGACAAACATGCGGTTCCGTCAGTCCACCAAACCTCCACTGGTGCTCCTTCTTTCAAGTGCAGTATTTGCTTGGAATTTTCAGGATTGAATGGCAAGTGTGGGCGGCATACCGATGGAGCAATCGACGTGCAGACACAGTCCTTCAAGAAGCACGAAGGGACGGCGAAGCACCGGTTTGCTCTGCAGCGCCAGGAGGACTTGCTCCAGAAATACGGGTGCCAGCAGCGCATCAACATGCACCCGAAGGCGCAGGACGTGGAGATGCGGCAGGTGTCTTTGCTCGTGGACTCGCTGTACTTCATGGGGAAGTCCAACGAGCCCATGGACTCGTGGATCCGGTTGGTGCGCTATCTGGCGAAGAAGAAAGTGCCCGGGTTTCCCGCGCAGGGCTACGGCACGTACTACAACACGTAAGTAGTGTCTGTAGCATGCCTGTTGGTTTTGTTTCTATTTGACTGTCACTAACGACTATGCTTTCTTTTTGTACGTACGGATTTGGAGAACTCACCCAAGCAATTGCGACGTGGCTCCAAACAACGCAACTTGAGCACCTTCTGACGAGCCCATTCATCTGGATTACACTGCACGAGAGCACCGACCTTCGCCGCGGCAAACACATGATTGTGTTTGCCACCTTTCTCCGCGAGGGACAGGTTGTCACGGAGTTTATCGCCCACTTGACTGTTGAGAAGGTTGACGCTGCTTCTTTGTGCACTTTGTTGGTTTCCCACCTCAGGGCTGTCGGCGTTGACCTGCGGCGTATCTCGCGAATGAGCACTAATGGCACGTCTGTGATGATGGGGAGTCAAAACGGTGTGGTTGCTCGCCTGCGAATGCTCATCCCCAATCTAGTCTCGTTTCACTACATCGCGCACAGGTGCGTTTGTGTTTTAATGTGTCACACTCTGTATTGTTTAACCCTTTGTTTGTTTTAACAATCACTAGCCCATTTGTGTGTTTCTGTTTTGCAGGGAGGCGTTGGCTGCCAAGGCCGCGGCGGAGCAGATACCAACGTTCAACATGGTGGACAATGTCATCCGCGTCGTCGCAGAGTACCTCGGGCAATCGTCACCGTGGCATCAGCGCTTCATGGAGCTGCAGGAGGTGTTCACCTCCACCAACCTCAAGGTCCAAGACATACATGACGTGCGGTGGCTTTCACGAGGAGCTGCAGTCACCCGGTTTGTCCACGTCCTTCCAGCGATCATGGTGATGCTGTCGGAGTGGAAGGACCAGACCATGTACAAAACCGTCATGTCGTACAGGTTCCAGTTCCTCGTCAGGTTCCTCGCGAACCTACTGGAGCAGCTCAACGTGCTCTCCTTCGTTTTCTAGAAGCGGGAGGTAAGTTGCCTACTACGTGTTGCATGTTTTGGTTGTAATCCGCTTTGTACTAATTTTGTTTGAATGTGTTTGTTGCGGCTCGTCTATGCGCAGGTGCACACGTAGATTGTGCGCACGACATCGATCTTAGAGAGCCGTTACGTCGACCGTGGTGACGACTTCGGGGGAGGGCCAATCGAGAGGTTGTACCGCTTCATCGAGAAGCATGGACCGCGTGGTTCACCAGAAATGGTGATCGAGGGAGCTTCGTCTGATGGCAGTCTCAACCGCTTCAAGGTGATGCTTCACGAGTGCACCAACCCAAACTATCGTGGGCCCGGCCACCACGATGCGTGCGTGGCGCTCTGCACCGACATGGCCGAGCATGTCGTCGAGAACCTTCAGTCCAAGCTTGGCGACCTTGAGTCTCTTTCTGGAGTGAGGTTGTTTATCCCTGACTTGTGGCAACCGCAATGGGACCGGGACGCGCGGCAGGCACAATGCCTGGAGTGGCTCTTGTTGCTTGTCACGTTGTTCCGCGCAGATGGGGTGTGTCAAACTCATATGCTATAGTCTGTGTAGGCTGTAGTGGGGTAGACAATATGGGGTACAACACTTTTAGGTTTTCCTACTTGTACCCACCTGCTTGCTAGTTCATTCATTCCTCATTTCTTCACACACTCTGCTCTTTTCACTTGTCTTTCTCCATCCCTGAATGTTACTCTTCTTAAAGATCGCTTTGAGGAGCTGTTCAACATTCATCCTGATTTTCCTCTCCTGTGTGTCACCGTTCGTGACTTTAGCAATTCTCCTACTCTTCTCTCTGTCGACACTGCTGCCATTCCCACCCCTTAGTCCTACTCCGAGGCTGTGGCGGGCTTTCATGCCACTGAGTGGATGGCTGCCATCATTGCTGAGTGTGAGGCATTTAATATAACGCATTCCTACATTAACTCTGGGTCAAAGGCAAATGGGTCTTCCGTCTCAAGCAGCTGCCCGGCGAACTTCCTGTCTTCAAGGCCCGCTACTGTGCCAAGGGGTTCACTCACCGTGAAGGCATTGATTACTTTGCCACTTACTCCCCACAGCCCGTCTCCCCACTCCTTCTTGACTTAGGTGCTCGCTAGAATTGGGAGATCCATTCCATGGACGTTTCCAATGCTTTCCTCCAGGGCGAGCTGCATGAGCGCATATTCCTTGAGCGCCCCATTGGCTTTCCTCGCCCTTTCCCTCCACGCACGGTTTGGGAATTGAAACGACCTGTGTATGGCCTCAAACAGGCCCCACGTGAGTGGCACGCCAAGCTTGCCTCCACCGTTCACTCTCTTGGCTTCTCTACCTCCACCTCCGAAAACAGTCTTTTCATTCGCACATCCCCCCACTCGCTTTGCATCCTTGCCTATGTGGACGATTCGGTGCTGCTTGCTGAGGACTCCGCCGATCTTGCAGCTGCCAAGAAAGCCCTGCTGGTGCGTCTCCTGTGCAAGGATCTTGGCGATCTTTATCACTACCTCGGCATGGATATCCGGCGTGATCATGCTGCCCGCACCATCTCTTTCTCCCAATCTTTCTACATCCAGTCCATCCTCCAGCAGTTCGAGATGTCGCAGGCCAAGCCGGTCTCCACCAGGGCCCAAAATTCAAGGGTGTTTTACCCTTTCTACCCTTGCTATGGGCCGCTTTTCCATGATTGCCCTGAATTAGTAGGTATATTTGCCAAACGACCTTAACTTTAAAAATGTAGTTTTTGAAATACACTTTCAAAATCAGGCCTCCCCGAGTTTTCCCCTGACGAGTCAGGGTACTTTTTGAAATGCACTGAAACAGACTTCCTTCGTGTCGTTTCTGTGCAACAGGGCCCGTGTGGCCACTCGACCGAGATTGGTTACAAAACTGGCCCCAGCAGTCACTTTCGCACTGTCAGCTCTACAAAACACACCACACCACAAGTATGAGGTAGTGGCATTTGGATTTTGCTCTTGCATTCAGGGTGGTTCCATAAATACCCTTACAAAGACAGAATACTGGCCAAAACACACTGATTAGCACTGGGCAATTTTTTTTTCACCCTGACTGTCAGGCAAAGGGGCCAGAGGGACCCTGATGTGGCAAGGTGCCCCGAAACCAATTTTTGGCCCTGGTCTCCACCCCTCTTTCCGCTAACCATCAGCTCACTGCCCCTGCCGTCCCTGCTCCCTCCTGTTGGGGGTTCCCTTTTTTACCACCTCATAGTAACATCCCTTCCATTCCTCTCCCTCTGCCCCCTTCTCTCTCTCGCCCCTCCTTTCCTCCACAGGTCCCAGAGCCCCTCCAGCCCCACATTGCTGCAAGTCTCCCTGCATCCATCTCGCTGCACACTCTCAGCACCACCAACCCCCCCATCCGCTTTAAGCCCATCCATCTCTTGGCACCCATTCATCACGCTTACTCACTGCTGCCCACCAGAGAGTTCACCACCACCGCCGCCACCGCCCTTGGCACATGTGCAACGCTGCGTCCCACAGGTCCCAGAGTCCCTGCAGCCCCACCTCGCTGCGCCCATGGGCCAGCGGCCAAGTAACAGCCTCTGAGTTGAGTGCAGTGACTCACTGAATGTTCTTACAGGGGCTGATGGGACTCACCAGATGAGCGGGCCGTGACTCACAAAGGATGAGCCTCGCTGTATTGTTGCCTGTAATGTTGCATGCAAGTGTTTCGAGCCCGGCTGGCTGGCACTCTTATTGGCGGTGATTTTCCTGCGCCCTTGCCGGCATACCGTTCAGCTGCACCACAGAACCGATTGCACCATTGCTAGCAGGTGTTCCTTTTTAGATTCTCACTAAGGAAAAGATACTGAACGAGCAAGGACTACTTCAAGAGTTGAGTCACCCTGATAATGCATGAAAATACTACAATTGCATCCTACACTTCAAGCTGAGCTACACCTTAAATACAACACAAGCCATGGCCCAGGTGATCACAGGTTAGCAACAGAGGTGGTGATACCACCGCGCAGCGAGACGCCGTTCACAGAGATGGTGGAGTAGAAACCGGAGGGATTCGAGAAGAGCCCCGCATCCACCAGCGCCTTGGGCCTGTTCACCGGCCTGAATGGCACGGTGATGTTGGCCAGAGAACTGGCGGTGCATTGGTAGATGCCGAGCATGATGGTGGGCTTGGGCACGCACGCAAACGTTGCAACGAGCTGGCCCGCGTTGGTGTGGTAGGAGGAGTTGGAGAAGACTGGCGCCGGGCTGATCGGCACCGCTGTAACGGTGAAGGTGAAGAGCGCCCTTTGCTGTGTTGATGTGCTGTGAATGGGTGGAGAGAGATGCAGGGGTGGGATGGGAGGGTGATATGGAGGGGTGAGACGGAGCGGTGTGATGCAGGGGTGCGGCGGAGTGGAGAGGTGCAGAAGTGAGGCAGATCACAGGAACGGACTTGCGCCCACATGTTTGACCTGGAATGAGCATGATCTGCACAAAGGTTGTGACGAGCATGTGATTAGAAGGGGAACGAGTGACGTGCACTCACATGTTAACATCGATGTTGAAGTTGGCGCCCATGCTGGTTTGTGAGGTGAGCACTGAGGAAGCTCGGTCTGCAGCCAGGCAGACGAGGACGCACGCACAGTTGAGCGACTTTTAAAGGCAGAAGGAACATTGGAAGCAGACAGGGAATGGTCTGCAGTAGGAGTCACGAGGTGGTTAGGATTGATGCATGCGCATGCTCGTGTGGATGCGAATGTGCATGTGCTCCTGCATGGGCATGTGCATGGGCATGTGCATGGGCATGGGCATGGACATGTGCATGTGCATGGCCTGTGCATATGGATGTGCATGTGCATGTGCAGTAGATGTGCATGTGCATGTGCATGTGGATGCGCATGTGCATGACTCACATCTGATGGGAGCATTAAGGTCCACAGTGACAATCTTTCCGCCGCCGCTGTTTGACTCTCCGGTACTCCCACTGCTGCTCCCGCTGCTGCTGTCAGTACCACTCCCAGAGGTGCTGCCTCCCGAGGTGCTGCCCCCCGAGGTGCTGCCCCCCGAGGTGCTGCCCCCCGAGGTGCTGCCTCCTGCGCTCACGGTGCTGCCCGTGCTGGTGGAGGTCGAGGTGCTCCCAGTGCTGCTGCTGTTGCTGCCGGGGACGGTGCTTACATCTCCAATAATGAGCGTCTCGTTAGGGCCTGTGCTGCCGCTGCTTGTGCTGCTGCCCGTGGTGCTGTCCGTGGTGCTGCCCGTGGTGCTGCTTACGTCTATAATAGTGAGAGTCTCGTTAGGACCCGTGCTACCGCTGCTTGTGCTGCTGCTTGTGCTGCTGCCCGTGCTGCTGCCCGTGGTTACGTCTTTAATAACGAGAGTCTCATTAGGGTCCGTGCTGCCGCCGCTCGAGCTGCTGCCGCTGCTGCCCGTGGTGGTGGTGACCGTTTGGGTCAGGAGGCCGTCGCTCGCATCCAGCAGCTCTCGCCGCACGGCGCCGCCCGCTGCGCAGCAGAGGGAGAGCGAGAGCAGCACTGCCAACGCGAGGGGTGTGCAGGAAACAGTGCAGCGACGCATGGGGGAAACAGTGCAGCGAAGGGGAAAACAGTGTAGCGAATGGGGAACCAGTGTATCGAAGGGGAATCAGTGTAGCGAAGGGGGAAACAGAGTAGCGAAGGGGAAAACAGTGTAGCGAATGGGGAAACAGTGTAGCGAAGGGGGAAACAGTGTAGCGAAGGCCCTTCGCAGTGAAGGCCCTTCACAGGGAACAGGCCCCCGGGGGGAAACAGTATAGCGAAGGGGGAAACAGGTACCCGCGGTGAAGGAGTGCGGCTTGGAAGGCGAGGTTTTGCGCGGAGACTTGCAACATTGCGGAGGAAATGTGCATGCCATGTGTGGAGCTATCGATGATGCACTCGCGCCAGCGCGCGCCGCGGAACTCGTGGGCGAACGACATGACAGCCGTCGGAGCGACACGACAGGGCGACGGAGCGACACGACAAGGCGACGGAGCGACACGACAAGGCGACGGAGCGGACACGCGACGAGTGCGACATCGCAAACGAGTTGACATGGCAGGGCGACGAGCGGCACGACCAGGCGACGAGACGACATGGCAGGGGCGTGTGACGTGTCAGGGCGATACGGCAGGCAACGAGGCAACGACTGGGCGTCGTGTGACTTTGTCAGAGACACGACCGGGCAACGAGGCGACGCGGTGGGCTCACCAGCGATGACGACGGCTAGGCGCTTAACGTCGATCGATGGCGAGCGAGAGAGTGACGTCATCCGACCCATGGTTAAATGGAGCCGCGTGATAAAACGTTTGTTGCAAAGTCGAGTTTGAAGCGATCCCAGGAGGCGTGAAATCGAGTGGATGATAGATGAATGTTAAGGCTGGCTGCGAATAGAATGAATACAAGAGACGCATTTGATGCTCAACACAGGAACGGAGGGCGCAGGTGTGTCGTGCTGCGCCATGCGAGTTCCTCCCCTCGCTTTCGCTGCGGCAATCGCGATAGCTCCTGGCGGTATGCGCTGCATTTTTCGATGCAAGATGCAGAATGATCTCATTGGGCAACTTCGTCCAGCGCAGCCAGATGCTTGCCACTGTGTGGAAGCCACACGACGGAACAAAATTCAACAGATTCAGCTGCGCTCAACCCGTGTGCTCCGTTAGCGACGGCGAAATGTTTGGCTGCGAACCTGCAACTGTTGCACCTGGCGCCTTGATGCAGCTGGCCGTGAGTCGCGCTGTGACTGTGCGAAGTCCCGTCGCCTGGTGACGTGTGGTAACCAGCGCGGCGCAGAACCCGGAGGGCTGAAAGTGTACAATATCTTGTAGTATTCTCATTCTACAACCATGTACAGTTACTCATCATAAGCCAATTTTGTCCCACTATAAGAAAAACAACATTCATGGAGGAAAGTGTGCCTCCTGCTTTCCCCTTCATGAGCTTTTCTTTCACTCCGCCCTTTGCCCCTCTCCTTCCTCTGCCTCTACCCCTCTCCTTCCTCTGCCTCTACCTTCGCCTTTCTCTCTGCCCCTCATCTTCCTCTCCACCTCTCTCCTTTCTCTCCGCCTCTCCCCCACAATTCCCAGAGCCCCTCCAGCCACACCTTGCTGCAAGTCTCCCGGCACCCATCATTCTGCACCCTCTCGGCACCACCAACTTGTCAAACTATATATGTAATGTTAGTGTGTAGGCTGTAGTGGGGTACAACACAATGTTGGGGTTTGTATTTGTACCCAAACTTCCAATAGTCAATCATTCATGCCTGTAGTTTCTAACATGGTTTCAGAGCAGTAGGTCCGTAGGACGGTTTTTTTCGGGCCCACCTACTGTTGTGGTTACTGAGCTGCCCCACGTGTTACCTGCGCTGCGCTGCCCGCGCGTGCCTTGCCTTGCCTGCGCTGTGCCGCCCGCACGCGCCTTGCCTTGCCTGCGCCTTGCCTGCGCTGCGCCGCCCGTGCGCGCCTTACCTTGCCTGCGCTGCGCTGCCCCACGCGCGCCTTGCCTTGCCTGCGCTGCGCTGCACGCGCGCGCAAACCTTAATTCTGTGCGCAGCTCGCTGCTGCCCTGCGCGTCGCGTCCGCCACCCTTACGTAGCCCGCTGCTGCCCCGCGCACCGCGTCAGCAGCTCGCGCAGCCCGCAGCAGCCCCGCACGCCGCCCTCACGCAGCCCGCGGCTGCCTCGCGCGCCGCGTTCGCCGCCCGCGTAGCTTGCTGCTTCTCCGCGCGCCGCGTCAGTAGCTCGCGCAGCCCGCAGCAGCCCCGCGCGTCGCGGCTGCCGTCCTCACGCAGCCCGCGGCTGCCTCGCGGGCCGCGTCCGCCGCCCGCGCAGCCCGCGGCTGCCCCGCGCGTCGTGTCTGCTACCCGTGCGGCCTACAGCAGCCCCGCACGCCGCATCCGCCGCCTTCGCGCGGCCCGGCGCTGCCACGCGCGCAGCCTTAGCCGCCCGCGCGCCGCTACTGCAGCCTGCATGTGCCTCGCTGTTGCCCTGCGCCTATGCCCGGCCCTGCCTGCGTGCGGCTCGCTGCCGCGTCGCCCGGCCTATGCACCACCGTGCACCCTACACTACCCGCATGCGGCCTACCTTACCCGCGCGCCCTACCTCCTGCAGCATGCCGCCTTCCTTTGGCGGACCGTCGCCTTTTCCTACCTGTGCGCCGCCATTGCCTACCCTAGTACCTGCTATGACTTCTCTTCACAGTACCGGTAGTGGGAGTGGTGGCGGCAGTGGAGGCAGCAACGGGGGTGGTGGCAGCAGTGGAGATAGCGGTGGGAGTGGTGGCGCCTGTCGTCGCAGTCACGTTGCAGCTCCTCCGTTGGGAGTTTCTGGAGGTGGCCTAGTGCAGCTGCAGCGGCGTTCGCGTGAGCCCCTTACACCCCAGGAGCTTCGTGAGTGGTTTGCTCAGCGTTGGGCGTCTCAGCGTAGTGGCCGTAGTGGCAGTCGCGGTGCAGCTCCTCCGTTGGGAGTTTTTAGAGGTCGCCTAGTGCGGCTGCAGCGGTGTTCGCGTAAGCCCCTTACTCCCCAGGAGCTTCGTGAGTGGTTTGCTCAGCGTTGGGCGTCTCAGCATCATGGCCGTACTGGCAGTCGCGGTGCAGTTACTCCGTTAGGAGGTTCTGGAGGTGGCCTAGTGCAGCTGCAGCGGTGTCCGCGTGAGCCCCTTACACCCCAGAAGCTTTGTGAGTGGTTTGCTCAGCGTTGGGCGTCTCAGCGTTGTGGCCGTAGTGGCAGTCGCGGTGAGCTCCTTCGTTGGGAGTTTTTGGAGGTGGCCTGGTGCAGCTGCAGCGGTGCCTGCGTGAGCTCCTTACACCCTAGAAGCTTCGTGAGTGGTTTGCTCAGCATTGGGCGTCTCAGCGTCGTGCTCAGAGTGACTATTACCTGTGTGTGCCGCCAGAGCCAGGTATAGAGGTTCTTGCTCTCGGTACTAGTGAGGTTGTCGCTCTCGGTGCTACTGAGTCTACTCTCTCATTTGCTAGTGAGTCTACTCTCTCAGAAGCTAGTGAGTGTGCTCTCTCAGGTACTGCGCCTGCTGCAGCCTTCCACACCTTCACGCTTGACTCAGGTGCTTCCCGCTGTTTCTTTCGCGACAGTATCACAGTCACTCCCCCCCCTGCACCTCTCCATGTCTCACTGGCTGACCCCTATGAGGGCCCAGTGCTAGCGCGGTCCACTACTGTGCGTCCGTGTCCGGCGGTCCCGTCTGGTGAGCTGTCTGGTCTCCACCTCCCCTCGTTCTCTATGAACCTGGTGAGCAACGCTGTCCTTCAGGATTATTGAGTTGACACCTTCAAACCTGGAGGACAGCGTGTGGCGATCTGCACATGCTTTCGGACAGGCTGCCACCAGGCCGCCACCTGGCCCAGCGTTAACACATGCGCCTGGGTCCAGTCCGTCCACTCTCACCACTGCGTCGCGCTACACCCCTTTGTCTCCTCAGCTGTACGCGTCTGCTCAGGTAGCTACCCAGTGTGAGTCTCGCCGCCTGTCGCACCAGACTCTCCTTTCGCACCACCGCCTTGGTCACCCCTCCCTGCCTCGCCTTTCGTGGCATGCACTCTCGCTCCCTGGTCTCTGGTCTTCCCAGGTCCCTGCCTGCCCTCCCTCCCTTGCCTGTGCTGCCCTGCGTTCCTTGCGTCAAGGGGCGGCAGCGCGCCGCTCCTCACTCCTCCTCGTTTCCTCCCACAGAGGCTCCACTGGAGACGCTCCACTTGGACGTGTGGGGCCCCGCCCACGTCCAGGGGTAGGGCCGTGAGGGGTACTTCCTGCTAGTTGTCGACGACTACACCCGTTACATTACGGTCTTCCCCTTGCACCGCAAGGCGGATGTCCCTGCTATTCTAATCCCTTGGATCCGCGCTGTTCGTCTCGAGCTCCGCGAGCGGTTCCACTCGGACTTTCTTGTCCTGCGTCTGCACTCTGACAAAGGTGGTGAGTTCACCTCCGACCTCTTGGCAGCCTATTGTGCGGAGCACAACATCCGCCAGTCGTTCACGCTTCCGGCCTGTCCGCAGCAGAATGGGGTTGCTGAGCGCTGCATTGGCTTAGTCATGGAGGTTGCTCGTACCTCCATGACCCATGCGGCAACTCCCCATTTTCTGTGGCCGTTTGCGGTCCAGTACGCCGCACATCAGCTCAACCTCTGGCCCCGTGTCTCCTTGTCGGAGACCTCGCCCACACTGCTGTGGACGGGGAAGGTTGGCGATGCGTCGCGTTTCCGGGTCTGGGGTGCTCGTACCTTTGTCCGCGATACCACCGCGGACAAGCTCTCCCCTCGGGCCATTCCTTGCGTCTTCCTTGGTTTTGTCCCTGACGTGCCTGGCTGGCAGTTTCACGACCCCGCCTCGCGCCGTGTCTTTGCGTCTGAGGATATCACCTTTGACAAGTCAGTTCCCTTTTACCGCCTCTTTCCCTACCGCACTGCCCCTCGCCCCCCCCCCCCCCCTCGCCGCTCTTTCTCGCTCCAGGTCCTCCCCAGGTAGACCCCCTCCCCGCGCCAGGTCCTGCTCCTTCAGGTGTTTCTCAGGTAGACCCTCCCGTACGTGCGCCTGTTGAGGTCACTGGTGACT